TGACCTTCGTGTTCTTCTCGCCTGTGGCGATTCCATGCTTACATGTTGGCTCAAAAACAAAAATAGAAACTTGGTGTACAAAGGTGCTGCTCAAAAAAAAAGAAGGTAGTAAGAGGTGATTAGTTCATTCTTTATGCTCAAGCTAACAATATACGTAGTGATTTGACAACCTAGCAGAAACTAAAAAAGTAAAATGAACTAAATATATTAAATTACCTAGTATAAAATTTTATTTAATATAAATATTTAAAATCAAGGTCTAAAAGAAGAAATAATTTGCTGCACATTCCATGTAGCAACACTTAGTACTGTTATTCTTATATAAATACAAAATTAATCTAAATGAATAACAACTGTTAGATGGTAGAATATCCTAGAATATTCAAATATATTCTAGGTATATCCACTACCATCTCCCTCCCTCTACGGGTTGTCTTAAGCAAATCAAAAATATTATCTTACAGTTGGTTCTAAAGGTTTGTTAAAATTAAAATTTTGATAATTATAATTTTAATAATTTTATACTTATTATCATAAACAAATTATTATCTAACATTTTGACAAGATTAGTATTTTGAATTCACATGATATAGCATAAATAGTTACAACCTGTCATAAGTTAACAAATAAATTAGAATTTGGACTGATAAAATATTTACAATATTAATTTGATTATTAAAGTTAACAAAAATTTATTAGGCAAAGAACTTTCTAAAGTTGGAATATGATAAATTGTTTAAAAATATTATAAATAATATTTTTAATAAAATGCATATAAAAATTTTAAATTACTCTGAACATGAAAAAATATTTTATGCAGTATAAATTTATTAAATCATAGATCTTTATTTACAAGACTATTATATAGTTACTTCTAGTTATTTATATTTTTCTTGTTACGTTTATTTAAATAGTCTTTATCTTACTAAATACTAATAATTTTTAATTTATTCACATAGAAAGAATATTATAATAGAAACAAAGCTTAATATTAATTTAATTTGGGAGATAAATATATTCATAAGTAAAGTTTATAATTGTAATTTAGTTTTATACCTTGGTAAAACAACTTTATCAGTTACTCATACACACTATTTAGAAAACATTTGTTAATTATCAATATTATTTTCTATAAAATATATCTATAATTTTTTTTATGAAACTAAATTTTAAATTATGATTTTTTGTTCAACAAACAATAAGAAAATTTAATTAATAAATATTTATTTAGGAAAAATATAAATTTTAAATACATATTGTAAGATCCATATATATATATATATATATATATATACATACACTATTGTTAGAATAGTGTGATTTGGTAGCTATTGGATTGGAACCACTCACTCCTGTATATAAGTTAAAATTTTGGGTTATTAAATTTGTATATTTTTATATTCATGGATGAACTATTCTTGAGAACTAGTAACACCAAATTTTTGTTAGTAAATACATTTTAATTATTGATTTAGTTTCTTGTCCTCCAGTGACTATTAGAGAATTTGTCATACTAACATTTGGCATTAAATAGTACTTGCTTCATAAGATTTAAGGAATAAGTTAAGATGAAAAATCATTTGTCCTCTTTCAACTGTCTTCTTATCAATGCTAATCTTTACTCAATATATAAAATGTTTACAATAACTTAAAACTAAGTCTGTATTGGTAATGAACCTTTGCCATCCATGCCCATAGTATATACTTCTTGAATCTGCTGTTTTTCCAGAGGCTAAGATCAACGACTGTGGCATTTGCCTCTACAACAAAACAAAACAGCCAATCATGGAGTAGAGAGCTGGAGTTCCATGAGGAGCAAATTCTTGACATCATTCATGCACTCCCCGGTCTTTTATTTTTGACGATTTACCAAGGGCAATTTACCAATTGTAGCATTTGAAGAATGTCTTTTTCTGGCTCTAAGTACCCGACCTCACCACTTCCGACCTTTGTGCCTGTGCACGTCGTGCTTGAACATATGCACTGTGTGCTTCAGCACACTTGTTATCCCACCAGGAGCTGGTTGGTAGACTTTTTCCTCTGTACCACTGCGGCTGCCGATGCGAGGGCATGAGTATGCTCGCTGTTCCGGGCGAGTAAAAGATGTCAGCAATTCCCAGTGTGCATGAAGAATTCTGTGAAAGGCTTGAAGTTGGCCAGAGTCCCACTTTCCGATTAACGGTTCACATTGCATATGGTAGTTCTTTTTGTGTGTTGTGTGGGAAAGAGGCATTTTGAGTGCAATTACACGGTGGTTCGACTTTGCTTGCTAGTCTGTGTCATCTATTACAGCGGCTGTTCTTTCTGGGCACAAAATGTAGTCCACCGTGCTGCTGCTCCCCTGTGAGCGGAGGATTCACAAGTAAATCCTGGTTCCATTGAGAATAAGTAGATTGATCGTTTAGTTTCTGTGCATAGAGCCGATCCCGTTGTGTGGCCCTGTCCATCACTTGGAGGCAATCGTCCTGAAGGTAAGCTAGGCCAATGGGAAATCACCCATGACTACAAGATAAGCATAGAACTATAGACTAGTCTCCATTGTGTTTTGGCACAAAGAGAACTACCTTTTGGGAGACACTCTTGCTGTTTAAGCAATGAGCGACTGCCCACTAGAGTTTGTGGAGACCTAAGAGTTCTGGGATTTCTCCAACCGTTGAAGTGAGTATGTGAATGACAAAATGGAGAGGGTGGCCCAGTCGCCACTTTCTTGCCATTGGCATCAAGCTAGACAATCATATCTTGGCAACCAGTTTTTCTTGCTACTTTCCTCCAACCTGGGTACATGCTCAGGCAACATCATTTGGCAATCTAGCAAGTGCAACCCAGCCCTTATACCTGTGCTCCATATTAAGCTGATGACTGCTGCTGGAACTTCACGCTCTTTCTTCCTAAGAATAACGCCCTCCTGGCAATGAAAGAACTACGGAGACGTCTCTCAAGCTTCAATTTCTTGTGGAGAAAGAGGAGCATGAAAATGTGGATCCAGATACCATATATTGCAGCTCTCGTCACAGTCGTACAAATGGATCAATGCCTCTCACAGTTAGTCATGGTAATAAGGTCTTCAAGGTCCAACTGACTAACAGGATGTTTCAAGCGGGGTTGGCATTTTTGAGATAATTACAACGACCTCCAGCAGCAAAAGTGATAATCTCATCGGAGATTTGACATGTTCGAGGCGTTTGGTGTATTTCTGAACAAAGCCAAAGAAAATCAGCCCAGTCATCCCTCATATGATCCTCTGCAGCACCCATGAGAGTGGAACAACAGTGGTATTGATCCCCCACTAATTTTGCCCCATAAAATAAGTTATAATTTTGATATTGGGTCAAATACCTGTTGGCCTTATACTTATCAACTTATAAGTGGTCCTGATCAGTTTTTTGAAACTTATCTCCCTGAAGGGAATAGTTTGCATTCGAATGACAATGGAATCAATTTGTGACCTTAAATTATATGATAAAAATTATTTACCAAAAAAAAGTAATATGGGAAAGTACTAACTGCTATTTGCAAATAAAATCAAGCGGAAGAAAAAGTCCCCACCAGTTCCTTCTCGCACGGTGAAGGAAGGCCGTGTGGCCTTTGTGTTGGAAGATGAACGAACCTTCCGACCACGCAGCCAGCAAATCGTTATAAAATTTGAAGTAAACCAAGAACGAGGGCGTTGCTTGGATTTGGAGTCGGATTGAACTTGTGGAAAAGCAATCTGGCAAACCAGAGAGCTGGGTCTACATCTGCTGAGACATAGTAGTTCGTCAAGTGGATTGAACGAAAATAGCTCAGATGCCTTGGGTTGTGGCTGTGGACCCACGGCTCTCGTAGAACTTTGTATCCAAAGAGCTTGGTCCATTCTGCTCCATTCATAGTAGCAGCAGCATGTGCAAGCCATTCCTCGGGAGTAGGCATCTCAGGCTGGATGGTTGTGTTGCTCGTCATGGATTTGTTTTCCATGGACATTGGGCGTGAGCGGTGATGGGGTGATCTGGAGTGATTGGAGGCAAGCGGGAGCGCGAGTTAGAGTGACGGTGTGATCCCAGAGGTGACCTCGAGCCATGACGGCGAAATTCCATGAGGTATGGTCTTGAGTGGCATGTAAGCGCCCTTCCTCGATATGGCATGTAGTGCTGGTGTTCTCTCCCACGTTGTTGCGCAGTTTTGGAGTACTGCACTTGCGCTGGGATGCTTGCATTGGTGACATTAATTGAGATGGGAAGGCGTGCAGGACTGTTTGCACATGAGACGGATTGGGCAGCACGGTGGCACCACGCTGGGAGATTGTGCTGATGGAAGAGGCACTATTGTGGTGAATTGAAAGAAAAAGAAAAAGGAAAAAGGAAGAGGCGCATCTTGGCAACTTGCCGCAGCATTCCAGATCGCGGGAGAAGATCAATAACGCACTCGTAGCGATCTCCTGTCCAGTCCATTTCTACGGAGCCGTGACGACACCATCGAGCAGCAACCCGGCATCGCTACAAGCCGATAGGACGCTCTTGAAAGTCACGTGGTCCATGGATCTGGATCGCGCTAAACAGCTCCACTGCTTCTCCGACCTTGTCCGGATTCCTCTCAAAAAGTGCTCTCGCGGTGGAGAGCCTTCCATAGAGGCTCACCAGTGCAGTGGCGAGGAACGCATCTGGCTCCACTCCAGCGGCAACTATATCATAGTGGATGATCCTGCCGAGCTCAAACCAGTGGAGCGTTGTGCACGCGTCGATGGCGGTCGAGAACGTGACCTCGTTGGGAGTGGGGAGTTATCCCTTCCAAATTCATGGACTTGAATTGCTGGAGAGCCTCCGCCGGATTTCCAAGCTGTGCGAATGCTGCCATCATCGAGTTCCAAGTCACAAGGTTTCGCTGCGGCATCTTATCGAAGACGAAGAAGCGAGCGTCCTCCACGGCAAAGCAGTACCGTCCAGGTGACCACAGTTCTCTCCGGAATCATCGTGAAAAGCAAGCTCGAGTAGGAGGCATCGCTGAGTTGGGCGCGGCTGAGTTGGTCAGCTATGCTGCGGCATCCTTGCGAAGGCGCTATCAGCGAGATCCATTCGTCCAGCCTTGGCATAAGCTCCTAGCATGATGTTTCCAGAGACTATGTCTCGTCCTGGCGGCATGCTCGCAAACAAGCTCTCGGCGTCTTTGAGCTGCTTGGAAGCCACGTTCCATGAAACTATATCTCGCTCCAGCACGAGCTCAAACATCTTTGCTACGTTTCCAGCTTTAGCTAGAGCCTGCGTTGCCGAGTTCCACGATTCGGCAGTTCTTCCAGGGATTTTGTCGAAAAGACTGCTACATTGACGTGAATTCCCACACCGGGCATATGCCGAGATCATTAAGTTCCAGGTGATGGTGCTTCGATCTGGCATGTTTTCGAAGTATACGTTTGCGTTACCAGTGTTACCACTGTATACGTAGCCTGATCTTATGGTTGTCCAGGTCAGAACGTTGTAGAACGGCATTCTTTGCAGCAAAAGTTTTACGTCCTCAAGTTCTTCATTTTGCGTAAGCGCTGACAACATTGCATTCCATGCTGCCACGTCTCGGTTCTTTGTAGCATGAAAGATTTGTTTTGCATCACTGGTATTTCCCTATTTCCCGTATGTTATCATCATAGTTGTGGAAGAAGGAAGGCTGCTTTCGGGGAGAAGATCAAACAAGCCCCTAGCCTCCTCCTTTCACTGCGATCGTGGTGCTCTAAGTTACCAGCGCGTGCTGAGCCATCTTTCTGAAGATTATATCCGGCAAGTTTTAGCTGTGAATGTAAGCCGCTAGTAGATAGTTCCAGCTGCTGTGCAATCGAATCGAAGGCCAGTGTGGCAGCCCCGCAGCTTCCATACATTTGGACGAGGAGGTTGCCCATGTAAGTCTCCGGATGGAAGTCATGAGTCTTGAGCTTCTCCTGACCTTTCCTGTCTCTGAGTAGCGCCTTTGTTCTGCTGCAGGAGGCCCTCTCCATTAGAAACCATCATTCAGGGCACAAAATTTTCACTATAGTTAACAAATTATTGATGTACAAAACTAACTCAATTATGGCTTTTGCCACAATAGCAACATTGATTCAGCAGCATAAATCTGTGTTTTCAACTACAAGTCGAGTAGGAAATATACAATCAGGTTGTGGCTGGCAATAGATATTTGTGAACCAGAAACCTCTACCTAGACTGTCTAGAAGCACCAAATTCCCATCCATTTGGAGTGTGAGCTTGCATGTACTCCTTCCACCAGTGCTGCTAGACCACAAAACCTTCCACTTCATTGCAGCCAACACCATGTTACAATCCTGCTCCAGTGAGAATTCATACTCTGAAACAAGCTTCTCCCCAGCATACACAGCAGAACCCCTTGCTCCCAGCTCTCCACTGACTATGCACGAACCAAAAACGTTACAATCTTGTTGGTATTCAGGAAATATAGCTGGATCAAACGTGTCTTGACCACTACGATCGTCTTGATCACTTTTACCAGCAATATGTTTGTGGAGAGTAGAATTTCTAAGAAAATTTAAAGGTAGACCACGAATATCACCGAATAATCCATGCCTATTGTACCGAGAGCAGCTGCTATATGCCATGTGAAGATGAGCCTCAGTTGCAACTCGTGAGACCAGATAAATAAAGGCACTTTGTAGCATCAAGCCATATACCTTTCATTGGAGATGGGCGAAGGCTGCAGCTACCATCATTCTCTTGAGTGTACAAAATAAGCTTTGAGAAACAATAAAATTTACGATCTTCGTCTATCAGGAGAATCTTTATCCATGTTCTACGAAAGTGATATGTCTGTGGATTTATGTCCGTATGTATCTGCTAAAAAAATTACTGTCTGCATTGTGTTTATTTGCTCTGAGTCTAGGAAGTATGGGCGAGACCTTTCAGTGAAAGTAACGCAGAAGCACGGGATGCATTGCAAGAGCAAAACTAAAAGCCTGAACAACATACCTTCGGGCAAATCATGTGTAAAGTTAAATGTGTTTAAAAGACACTTCGGATTTTGTCTTCCTCGTTGACATGATGTAAATGCCAAAGCAAGGAAAGAAAATCAAATACTTTACTTTAGGTTTGACATTTTGGAAATTGATTTGTTTTTATTAATGGACTTAAAAAACTTAAGGCCTTTGCCACAGGAGTTGCATTGATTCTGCAGCATACAGAGACAAATGCCCGGTATTTTCAACTACAAGTTGAGTTAGAAAGATACAGTTGGGTTGTGGCTGGCAATAAATGTTTGTGAACCAGAAACCTTCATCTAGACTATCTAAAAGCACCAAATGCCCATCCATTTGTAGCGTGAGCTTGCATCCACTCTTCCCACCCGTATTGCTCGACCACAAAACCTTCCACTTCATTGCAGACAGCACCATGTTGCAATCTTGCTCCAGCGTGAATTCGTAGTGGCCATTACCTGAAACAAGCTTCTCTCCAGCATAGAGGATGGATCCTTTTGCTCCTAGCTCTCCACTGGCCATGCACGAAACATAAACGTTACAGTCTTCGTTGTAACCAAGATATAAATCTGGATCAAAGTATGCCTCACTGCTACCAACTAGATGATTTTCAGTAGTAAAATTATGCATAGAGTTTAAAGGTGGGATAGGAAAATGGTACCACAAGGAATACTCTATGGCAACCACGCTCGATGTCGCAGATATATGACCATATTTGTAGATTTGGGCCTCCCTAACAATTTGCGAGGCCAGATAGTCGAAGGCTGGTCGTAGAGTTAACCCAGACACCATCATTGGGGATGGGCGAAGGCTGCAGCTACCATCAGACTCCCTTGTTAGCAAAGTAAGTTTTGAGAAACAATGGAGCCTACGATTCACGTCTATGCTGAAAATCCTTTTCCATGTTCTTGGAAAATAGTGTGCCTCTGGACGAACATCTTCATCAATGTGCTGGCGAATACGTGCTTCCAAGCTGTTTACTTGCTGTAGATCTGTCATGAAGTATGGACGGCTTCGTTCGAGAAAAATGACACATGTGACGCAAATGACGCATTGCCAAAGCAACGCTAACACCCTCAACATCAACATCTCTTTCGCTAACATATGAGATTTGAGGCTATATAACAACACGAGGCCCACCTTGTTCTTGTCTTCTTGTTGTGACTTTGTGCTTCTTCTTTTGTCAATAATCAAACTCGTTGTCGGTTAGACGAGACCCAGCAAGAAATGCAACGAGCTCTTTTGCTATTTTAAAATTTCCAGAGTATGCTATCCATGGCTCGACAAGTGGCATGACCATGCCAATCTCGTGGCGTTCCGTTGGAGCGCAGCTGATATGTTTTATCTTCGCAGATGGCTACCTGTGTTTCCACCGACCAGAGTGAGCGATTATTTGTAGTCTCCGCAACTCCAAAGAGTCAGTCCACTGCTAAAGGTGAGAAATGTCCGCTTTATCTTGCAATTTTAGCTCTCTCCATTATTCGATCATGCTCTCCAGATCTCCAGCACCGCTTTCGGGCGATTCCAATCGAAGCAGGAAAAAGATGAGAAGCAGCATTGTCGCCGCCGCTCCTGCCGCTGAAGACAGGATCACAAAAGCGGCTCCGTTGACCAAGCTCGACCTCGTCGACTACCTCGCCTCTGGTTGCAAGCCCAAATCACGCTGGAGAATCGGCACCGAGCACGAGAAGTTTGGATTCGATAAGAGCACGCTCAAGCCACTTGACTACCCCCAAATCTCTCAGCTATTCGAAGGACTCTGTGAAAGATTTAACTGGCAAAAAGAGATGGAGGGTGACAAGGTCACAGGTCTTAAGAAGGATGGACAGAGTATTTCCTTGGAACCTGGTGGTCAGCTGGAACTCAGTGGTGCTCCCCTCGAAACTCTCCACGCGACTTGTGCCGAGCTCAGCTCTCACCTCTACGAGGTGAAGGCCGTGAGTGAAGAAATGGGCGTGGGATTCTTTGGGATGGGCTTCCATCCAAAGTGGCCAGTTGAAGTATTCGACATGATGCCAAAGGGGAGGTTTCAGATCATGAGGAACTACTTGCCCAAAGTTGGGAAGTTTGGCCTTGACACCATGTTCCGGACGTGCACTGTCCAGGTAAATCTCGACTTTTCATCCGAGGAGGACATGGTTAAAAAGTTTAGAGTTAGCCTAGCCTTGCAACCGGTTGTCACGGCGATCTTTGCAAACTCGCCATTCACAGAGGGCGCACCGAATGGCTACTTAAGTTACCGGAGTTTGACGTACACGGACATGGACGGGGACAGGACCGGTGATCTTCCATTCGTTTTCGAAGACGGGTTTTCTTTCGAGAGGTACGTTGACTACGCTCTTGAAGTGCCCATGGTGTTCGTCTACAGGGACGGAAAGCACGTAGATTGTACTGGCCGATCTTTCAAAGACTTTCTCCTTGGGAGGCTACCCGAGCTTCCGGGAGAACTCCCAACGCTCAGCGACTGGGAGAATCACATCAACACCATCTATCCCGAGGTCCGGCTCAAGAAATACTTGGAGATGAGAGGGGCCGACGAGGGGCCGTGGAAGAGGCTGTGTGCTTTGCCGGCTTTGTGGGTGGGACTCTTATACGACGAAGAAGCTCTGGAGAGTGCTTATCAGTTGATCGAGGATTGGAGTCGGGCCGAGCGAGCGATGCTGAGGCGCGAAGCTCCAAAGCTGGGATTGAAGACACGGTTTAGGAACGGGACTTTGAAGGACGTAGCACAAGAAGTGTTGGAGCTGGCAAAGGAGGGACTGGAAAGAAGGGGTTACAATGAGGTGAAGTTTCTGGAAGGTGTTGCTGAGATTGTGGAAACGGGAGTGACTCCAGCGGAGAGGCTGCTAGAGTTGTACAATGGTAAGTGGAACAAGTGTGTGGATCCAATGTTCCACGCGCTAGAGTATTAAACAAAGCTTACAAAGCCATAGCTCTTTCCTCTCCTTGTAAAGTTTGAGAGTTTCCACAAACTGGAATGGGCGGTGGAGCTTTGGGCTTCAAAGAATGTGTTGAAATGCTCAAGTCCTCCCAGTCACCCACGGACGCAAAGAGCGCCCACGCCCGTGCATTGGACGCCGTACAGTATATGCCCGAATCGGGCACATATCTCTCGAACCTGGTCATCCAAATGTACGGCCGGTGCGGCAGCGTCCAAAATGCCCGCTGCGCCTTCGATTCCATGCCCGTTAAGAACGCCTTCTCGTGGAACCTCATGCTCGACGCGTGCATCAAGAACGGGTATCTCGAAGATGCGAGGAGAATCTTCGACGCCATGCCGGAGCGCGACATTGTCTCGTGGAACGCGATGCTCGCCGCATTTTCCTTGAGAGGGCAGCTTGGAGAAGCGAAGCTTTTGTTTGAAATCATGCCAGAGAAGGATATAGTTTCATGGAACTCGATTCTTGCGGCATTGGCAAAGTCTGTGCAGTTTAGTGCTGCTAGAGAATTGTTTGTTTCAATGCCCTTCTGGGATATCGTCTCTTGCAACACATTGCTAGGAATGTATGCCCAGAATGGACATTTTGTGGAAGCAAAGACTCTTTTTCACCAGATGAGGTATCCAGACATGGTGTCCTACAACACTATGCTCTTAGCATACTCTGAGAGCCGGAGCTACTTCGAGCTTCAGAGTTTGTTCTTACAAATGCCATCTTGGAACCAGGTCTCGTATAACACAATGCTGTCGGCATATGCGCAGAGCGAGAATCCAGAAGAATCGAAGTGGATTTTTGATTCCATGCCAGAGAGAAATTTAGTGTCGTGGAATGCCATGCTCGCTTCATATGCGCAAAACGGGCATCTTGAGTGCTCCAGGTCTTTGTTTGATTCCATGCCACAGCGGAATCTTATGTCGTGGAATGGACTGCTAGCAGCATATACTTCGAGCGAATGTTTGCAGGCAGCTAGATGCATTTTTTATTCCATGCCGGAACACAATATAAGCTCGTGGAATGCTTTACTCACTTCATGTAAGCTTGAGGAATGCACAATGGTTTTTGAAACTATGCAGGAAAGAGACTTAACGTCCTGTAATATAGTTATTTCAGCATATGCCCGAAATGGGCATATTTCAGAAGCTAGAACCTTGTTTAACAGCCTGCCAACATGGAATATGATATCTTGTACTACACTAATAGCAGCATATTCGAAGTATGGAGACATCACAGATGCCAAAGAGCTTTTTGATTGTATGCCAGAAAGAGATATAATAACATGGAACGCTATGCTGTCTGCATATTGCTTGGTAGGGCATCTTGAAGAAGCGAAGTGTTTGTTTGATCAAATGCCAGATAGAAACCTCGTAACATGGAATGCCATGTTGGCTGCTTTCGCTCAGCATGGACATTTTGAGGAAGCAAGACCTCTTTTTGGTGGCTTTGTTACCTCTAATGGCTTGCTAACAGCATATGCTTTGTCCGGACATATAGCGCAAGCAGAACAAATATTCTACAGTTTACCTGAAAGGAATTGTGTGTCTTGGACCGCAATGCTTACGGCATATGCTAAGAATGGGCAACCTGCAAAGGCCAGGAAACTCTTTCTTTGTATACCTGTAAAAAGCCTTACTACTTGGAATGCATTCCTTTCTCTAAGTGCCCACAATGGGCAAAGCTATCTTGTATTAAGACTGTTTAGAAAGATGGCCATGGACGGATTTAAGGCTGACAAAAATACAATCACAACTTTACTTCAAGCTTGTAGCAATACAGGTACTGTGAAATCTGGTATTAAATGTTTTCAGTCATCAATCTTAGACTATAGCCATGATCAACCCACACAACAACATTTTGGTTGCATTGTACATCTCTTTGGGAGATCTGGATACCTTAATGAAGCATATGAGCTGATTGAAAGTATGCCTTACATCCCTGATAAACAGAGTGGACCAGCTTTTTGGATGCTTGTAAACACCAAAAAAACATGAGCGCTGGCATTAGTGCTGCCAAACACTTCAAAACGAAGTGCCTGGATTCCACATATGTTCTTCTTACAGGAGCTATTTAGCACAGTACATAATCAATTTAGAATCTTTAATATAATATTAGTCTTACTCAGACCAAGGTCCTTAAGCAATATTATTTATAGGAGGTGGTCTGAAAAGAGGTGGTTGAACACCACTTACATCTTAGTCCCATTTTTCAAAGACTAGGCCATTTGTCCATGAGTAGTCATCCTCGATCCTTCTCAAGTCCATCTCGGACTTCATCTTGGACTCCACCTCAGACTCCTTCTTGGGTCTATTTCAGACTTCATCTTGGGCTCCATCTCTGATCTATCTTGGACTTCATCTCAGACTCCATCTTAAGTCCATCTCAGACTCTATCTCGGACTCCATCCCAAACTCCATTTTGGGTCCATCTCGGGTCCATCTCAAACACCATCTTATGTCTATCTCGGGTCCATTTTGGACTTAAGTCCATCTTGGGTCCATCTTAGACTCCTTTTTGGACTCTATCTCTAACTCCTTTTTGGACTCAATTTCGGGCTCCTTCTCGGACTCTATCTCGGGTTCATCTCAGACTCTTCCATGTGTCACGTGTTAGTTCTTTTGTCCCTTTTTTTTAGAGACTCACTTATTGCTCGTTTCATGCTCATTCCTCGAATACTTCATTGGGAGTTCCACTCCCACTCTCGACTTTTCGAGTTGAAGCTTTTAATTCAAATGTGTTACCTTCATTTAGCTTTTGCTTCAGCCACTACCACATGGCACCCTTTCGGCTCTAATTGGGGTTTAGGGATTTGTGTCTCACATCATAAGCACTATAGTTCATTTCCCTTCTGGGAGGGAGTTGCTTTTGATCATTCCTTTAGATGCCCTTTTTTAGCACTACCTGAGTCTGTGCTCACTCCCACCCAAGGCTATTAACCCCCAGTCCCAATTTCAACTTAATTTGGAAGCATTACTGGAGAGTTCCTTTAAAACTAGGTTTTAGACCTATACTTTTGGGGCCCTCGCTCTCCTCCCCTCCCCCCCCACCCCGTCCCCTCCAAGAGATGATTGTTTTTGCGTGCATTAAAGATGGTCTTAACCTTATATTCCTACTCCCCTTGGATAACTTTGGGTGAAGGTCTCACTTAGTCCTTGTGAAGTGAGTCCTCAAAGTATGACTTGAGTAAAGTCACATAGAATATATAGTGTATTTTCTTTATCTTTTAGAGAAGTTGAAGGCGGTAAGCCACTTTACCAATTTGAGTCTTAATTTCATAAGGCTATGCAAATCTACTTAAGGAACCCAAGATCAATTCCAAGAATACTTGTATTTACCTTTGGGTAAACTTCTAGCTGATCCCACTTAGTAACTTTAGGTTCTTGGTGTTCAGTCACACCTTCTCTTGAAGTTGAAATTCTACGTTTCGGCATTTTTGGTTTGTATATTTAGTTTGTCTTTATTGAGCCCATTCCAAGGAATCCCTCATTAGATTCTAAATGTTAAATATTTTTGCCGTGAATGCCTCCACTATAAGTAACTTTCCATAATACTCAACCATGCCAAATTTTATAGGACCTTTAATAACTTGCCCATTGATGACTTCCCATATACTCACCCTGATACTCAAATGTGGTGAATTGTTATAACACATTTCCACAAGTCCTAAATGATTTACCTAATCAATCTGGTCTTTAGAGACATAGTATCGCAAATAATCCTCCAGCTGTATATTTACCTTTTTTATTTGTCCATCTGTCAAGAAGTATTATTATTATCATACTTGACTCAATACTCAATATATGTTTGTGGGTAATAGGTTGTGTTAAATTTTAGTTTGGTGCAATATTGCTTTAGAAGACTTCTCCAAAACCTAATAGTGAAAATCTTATTTTAAAATGAGATAATTTCTTCTGGCCTTCCCTACACTCGAATCACTTATTTAAAGAATAGCTTTGCTACACTTTCTACATCCACTTCCATTATGGTGGGTATAAAATGTGCCATTTTAAAAAACAAATCTACCACCACAAATATTGCATTATACCCCTCATTTGGGGGGAGGGGTATAAAGGGCTCTATTGCATCTCACAAGAGGTCTATTATGACACTTTTTTAAGACTATTTTTTTTAGTTCCCCTTGTGGAATATACACTTTTGTCTATTTAGAAATGAGTCCATTGTGTTCCACATAATTCATTTTCTTTTCACTAAGTAGCTCACATTTTTGGTGGGCATACTACGCCTCTTAGTTCCTCAACAACATTTCTTATGCTAGACCATTATCCCCATATATTATCCACATATCATCCTAAAAAGTTGTTGTTAGCTTGGATATTGCCAACTTTAAGCTTGTTTTTCAACTTAAAGCATTTGCCACGGTATTACTCTTCCCAGGTTTATATAGAATCTTGCAATTGAACTCAACTAAAGCATTAGCCCACTAACCCTATTTTCCTTAGAGGTCGAGTTGTGACAAAAAGTGTTTCATTGCCACATTATCTATTTATATTTTAAAATTAAAGTAGTGTTACCACTCTATGAGCACATTGACCATTGCAAACAATTCTTGGCAGTATTATAACCTTAGGTCAATTTTTGAGAAGTATTTTTTTTTTCCCAACTTATCGAATATGTCCTTAATCCTTGATAAAGGGTACTTATTCTTTTTTGTATACTTGTTGAACAACAAATAGTCTATGCACATGCATATAGAGGTATCTTTCTTTTTAAAAAGTAACATTAGTGCCTCATATAACAACTTGCTTAATCTAATATACCTTTTATTAACTAACTTCTCAAGTTGGCATTTGAGCTTTTTGAATATATTTTATCAATCAGGCAAGGGTAATCCCACTAGTAATTCCTCTGATATGGTATCTCGAAATTAGTCAAACACCTATTAAATCACTGAAGGTACTTCTTTTGTTCCCATCTTTTTGTCACTCACCACTGAAAGTAAGCATAAAAATGTTACTTTGGTTCATTTAGTGAGTTGCTATTTTGTG